GCACAAGGCAAGTGCTCTCTCTCTCACTGGATGTCTTGCACCTAAAGCCCAGATATCACTGGTTTCCAAATTTGTAAAACCATAAATTCTATTATTGATAAGTGTCAAGTCATGTAATTCCTCCCCTGAGGACCAGTCATCAATGTCTGATAGCTGCTCTTTTGAATAGCGCAAACATTGCACTTGTTATATGTCTTCAGTCTCTGGATTACAGGCCCCATTCTGTTAGGCTGTGGTGCCTTTTCTAGCTACCCTTTTGTTCTTTTTGGCTGGTTCATTTTACTATCACTAGTTGACTTTCCTGTACAGACAATGTCCTCCATTACTATAAATTATGCAGTTGAATCCCCCACATTTGGAGAAGTCACATTGGGGATCAGCAAAAGTGCAGCAGCATGGACCTAACCCTGGGAAAGCTAATGTCTTGGTCCTGGCATCTCTCCTACCGAGTAAACGTTATCATTTTACTTTTAATACAGACACTCTAGAACAGAGAAACTGGAAAGGGGAAGTGGTTTCCTTACAGTAGTCACCCATTTCAGCAGCATCTTCTCCATCTGCCCTTACTTCCATTCAGATTATGATAAAGCAATTCCCCAGCATCAGGTTTCTCATCTCAAAACATTTTACCATATTCTTTTAAAGGGCAAGTATTCTTTTTAAACAGTATACACAGTCTTTCCAAAACTGAATTATCAATTGTACCTAATACCATTCAATATCCAGAGGACGCTTGGGTATCTCTGAATGTTCTCTTTATTTCTGTGTTTATTTTTTCAAATAAGATCTCTGTTAAAGTTTGCTGATAATGGTGTCCAATGGTCACTTTTAATATGAAAGGTTTTTTCTCTCTCCCTCCACCTTTCTTTCCCATAAATGGATTTGTTAAAGGAACAGAGTCTTTCTCCTGTTCTCTGAGTCACTGCACACTGCTGAAGATCTACATCTACTGAAGAAGATCTACATATACTGAAATCTACATATACTGAAGATCTACATCTGCTGAAGATCTACATCTACTGAAGATCCACATCTGCTGAAGATGATCTACATCTGCTGAAGATCTACATCTACTGAAGATCTACATCTACAGTAGTATTGAACACCATCTTCCAACTGTACATTTTCTGTGACTCAATCATTGAATCTAGGCTTTGTGTGATTCACAATTATTTGGTAAAGCTACATAGACAGGACTAGGCTCTAGGTCAGCTTGTACTTAGCATGTCTGAAACCTCAATCCTTGTCATAGTTTTTGTCAACTTGCTATAAACTGTACACATTGAGAAGAGGGCACTTCATCTGAGGAATAGTTTCCATCTGCCTGGACTTTGGGTATGTTTGTGGGACATTTTCTTAACTTCTGGTTGATGTGGGAGGGCCAGTGTGGGCAGCACCTCCCCTGTGCAGGTTGACCTGGCCTGAATAAGGAGTGTAGCTAAGCAAACTATACAAAGGAAGAAAATAAGTATACAAAGTAAATAAAGCAAAGTAATAAAGCAGAGTTCCCCTGTGGTCTCTGCTTCAGTTCCTGCCTCCAGGTTTCTACTTTCGAGCTCATACTCTGCCTTCCCTCCATGAGTGACTCTAACTGGTAAGCTGAAATAAACACATTCTCGAGTTGTTTTTGGCCATGGTATTTATCACAGCAACAGAAAGCCAAATAGGATGATCTCCCACAACAAAAGAAAAACTCATTCCAACAAACATGAATGGCTTTGTGTATTTCTATTCTTATATGACTGATTGTATCCTGGGACAGCTGTGGAAATCAAAGATTGCTATTAGATCCAGAACAATTGTTTCTTGATTCTTCAATATAAAAAATACAAATACAATTATATTTTTGGTTTATTTGCCTAGCCATCTGAGTTCAAAAAATATTTGGGGCCAATATGATATACTACATTACTCCTGGGAACTTCATGGGGTCACTATTTCACTGTTGTTAGCAGAAAGAAATGTCAATCCAGAGTGTGCTGTTTGGGCCTTAATTGATGTTAGTCTTTTATATTTATTCCCAATTGACCTGTAACTCTAGGGTCTGTGCATCGGGCAACAGAGGAGGTAAACACAGCTGGGTGGTGGTAAACACAGCTGGGTACATCTGTGAAGAAGGGTCAAAGGGGAAGACGCAGAATGAGACAAAATGAGACCTGGAAAGGGAAAGAAGGGTCAGAATGGGCGAGTACAAAAGCTGACATAAGAAGGATTGACTTTTCACACTGGGTCAGCCTACTGAGATGAGCCCAAGGGAAAGGAAGAGTCTGGGATGATGAATACAAGCAATTTTTCCAGGAGGGCCTTAAACAGAGGTGCTGTGGTGGGTCTGCTGGGCTCCATGGTTGTTTGCACAGCCCCATCCCCCTGTTCCTCCCTTGACATGGGCAAGAGGCTCTGCTCACTCAGTGGGAGTTCACAGAGGGATGTGGGTTTCCCTCACGCCTCCTTTTTCCACCCCAGCCACAGCAGGCACTGCTTTCCCAGGGACCACCCTGGAGCTTCAGAGAGGACCTCCTTGTTCCAGTCTCTACCCCCCGCTCCCCCACCTGTGGACAGGGCAGGCCACTGAGGCCCAACTAGACTGCAGTGGCCCAGTAGGATCAGATAAGGCACAAGAAAGCAAAAAGGCATGTGTGCTTATAAAGGAAGTAGCCGGCAGTGGTGGTGATGGTGGTGATGGCCAGTAGTGTTAGTGGTGAGGAGGTGGTTATGGTAACAGTAATGGTAATGAGGATTATAGTAGTACACTATTTGTCCCAGTCAGGCTAATCTTATAGAGAAATGTGTTTAGCTTACAGATTTGGAGGATCGAGAGCATAAAACGGGCACAGCTCTGACAGGGGTCTTCTCAGTTGTGTCGCATCATGGTGAGACTGTGTGTACAGGGAAGAGATGCAAAACAAGAAATCAGAGAGCGTCTGGGGTCACAGTGTCCCTTCTGAGAGCACATCCCCAGTCGAACCAAGGACCTCTTACTGTGGCCTACTCTTCATAGTCCTCTTACCAAAACACCTCTGAATCCAGCCTCCAGCACATGATTCTTAGAAAACAAACGACAGCAGAGATGACACCGGCGAAAGCAATGTGGTGATGATGGTGATGATGACCGTAGAGTTGCTGGTGATGGTAGTAATGGTGGTGTTGGTGATAGTGAGCATTCCAGTGATGCAGGAGCTATTATAACGGTGGTGATGGTGTGGAAATGATTCTGGTAACAGTGACAGCCAGCAAGTCTTAGTGTCTACTGAAGACTTAATCATAAAGCACCATAAGTGTACTGTATGATTAAATCTAATTAATCATCATAATTCACCTCTGAGCAGTACCTCTGTCCCCATAGTGAGTATCCCAAAGGACCACCCATGCATGGCTCATTCATCAGAAAAGGTTCCCAGTCAATATCAAAAGGGCAAAGGGACATCAAGGCTACCAGCACTATGAGTAAGTTGTTACAACGAGTTAGAAAAGAGCTTGGTGATGCTCAGGAGGGGGGGGGGGGGCGTTCTCATTATATAATAACAAAGCACAAGGGAAAAAAAGAGGCTAGAGGCCTTGAAAGTGCCCAGTGAATATCCTCCATTTAATATTGTGAGCATACTTGGTATCTAGTGGGCAGACAAACAGATATTCCCAAGCCTCCATCACCAACTAATATGTATATATGAGTTTAAGAAAGTGTAGTAAGTTAGAAACCAAAGTGTGCATCGATTCCTCAGGACATCGTGAATTTCTGTGAACTTTGGCACCAGTGCAGACATGCTTTCCCAGTCTCCACAAGTTTCTGCTGGGAAAGAAGACCTGTCTAAAACACAGGCACACTCAGCAGCACTCTCACGCTGCACCCTCTCATTTGATTTAAAAAAAAAAAAAACCCTCATCTCCTATCTGAAACCAGACTGGAATGGATGAGGTAAGAATTGCCACTGAGGTTAAAATAACACAATATGCAGCGAAGGATCCACAACTCATGTACTGAGTCTAGGGGAGGAAAAAAAACAGCCCAATCTTCAAATAGATAATGAGATCCAATGCTAAAATACTGTAGGGAAGTGATCAATATCCAAAGGTTATATAGTTGGACAATCTCCCTCACACACACACACACACACACACACACACACACACACACAAAAGACAACATTGTTCAAGGATGTAATGCCCATGACCTACTAGGGAGACACTGTCAGTTACAGAACAGTACCCTCTTATGACTGTGTGTATGGTGGGCAGAGGAGGGAAACAGGGTTAGAAGCTGGGTGCAGTTAGCATCCTGGAGCAAGTGCAATATATCTTGGCCTCCCACCCTATTATTTACCCAGAATACAAATATCTCAAAGGAATGTCACATGGAGTCACACAATGAAATAAATGAGCAAAGTTCAGTTCTTGAGCATGAGCCTCCAACCAGAGTCACAGCTGATGTTTTCACATAACGTGTCTCTTCCAGGGCCACCCAGCCCAAAGCCCCTAGACACATTGCCACTGCTATAAGTGAGGATGTCCCACTGAGTGGAAGAACACCTAGAGAAGGACTGCACCAGATTTTATACATTCACAAAGTGTACAAAATAAGATTTGAAATGTCCTACCTGCCCTGGCCTGATGGGAACAGAATTTCAAGGTTTGTCACTGTGACTGTGGCTGTCAATAAAATGTGACCCTCTAATAGTGAGGAGTTACTATTCTCACACAGGTTGTTTAATGGATTTTTTTGTGTGTGATGAATGTCCCAAGAAATAAGCTTGGAAGCAGAGGCCTTCACTCAGAGAACAGTGAATACCAGGAAATTGAAGAATCATTCTGTACTGCAGAAGGCACAAGTAATATGTCGTCAGTCAGGTTTTTGTCACTGTGATAAACATCAAAATCAAACAACTTCAGAGAAGAAGGATTTATTTGGTTCAAGACAAGAAGGATTCACCATAGCTCAGTTTCAGAAGCTTTATTCAATAGTCAACTGGTTCCACGTTTCTGGGTCCATGGCCAGTAACGCCACATTAGGAATTCATCAGGAGATTAATCCATTCAGCAAGTCAGAGCCCTCATGAACCCATCATTTCCCCAAAGTCACTCTGAACATCCTTGTAGCAGGGACTAAGCCTTCAAAACATAAGAGTCTTTGAGGGAACACTTCGTATCCAAACTCTAAAACAAAATGATTTCACTGGTTAGCTGCCAATATCTTCAGGACCTCCTATAGGACCAAATAAGCATTCTTTCCTCTTGAAGAAGATTGGATTCCAAAACAATGGTGGAAAGAAGACTAAATGCAGGCAATTTCAGAATGTTCTGGAGTCTCCTGAGTAAAGGACATCTACATGTCTAGTTGGGATAATGTCCAGGTGCATACTGTGTGTGTACTTGCCTACAGAGATTGTAGAGTTGTTGTCCAGAATACCAAGACAGGCAAACGTAGACCAGGCCTGCCTGGAAGGCATCTCCTGCATTCACCACTTCTGCTGGCATCATTGGTTTGCAGGAATGTTTAACTTTGTAAGTGCCTGCACGCTACGGAGGTAGAACAAGAGTTAGAGGCCAGACAAGGCCTGTCTCAGATGGTAAATACACACTGGAGGTTGTAATCATCTAGTAGACAGTCTTCATCAGAAGGCCATCTCTGTGCTAGATAAAGGAGATGTCCAGCTAAGTGGTGATTAGTGCCTCTGCATCATACCTTGACTTTAATCCCAGGGGCTGTGATAGATACAGAGAGTTGATCCTCAGTGCCTGTCCATCAACTCCTCCAGCATGCCTTTTTCAGAGTGTTTGGGCTGCTATTTAAAAAATGACATAGATTAGATAGTTTATGGACAATAGGCATTTGTTACAATTCTAGTCTGAGGAATGGAGATCAAAGCATTACCAGTATTGGCAAAGGATCCATTTCCTGGTTTGTAGATGGCCGTGTTCTAGCTATGTCCTCACATATTAAGCTACCTTTGAAAAGGTAATCCCAGTCATGTGAGCTTACCTCCGAAAACCATCTCACTGGGTAGTAGGTTTCAACATATGAATTTTAGAGGGACACAGACATTTAGACCATAGCAACAACATTAGGACCAATTTAATTTAGCTAAATTCCTTCTTTACACACCTGGTCAAATACAACACTATTGAGACACTAAGGATTAGGACTTTAGCATATTAATCACAAGGAGCACAATCAGTCCATAACACTAATAATAATGCATTAATGATATATCAAGTGATGACAAATACAAGGAAAAATAAAGTAAGGACAAAGAATTAGGAAATGCAATTTTAAATATATTAGTAACAGATCTAGGGAGATCTAATAAGGTAGCTACAGGAAATGAATTTTCAGAGAACATGCAGAGTAGAATAGAAAGATGTAAAGCCATGGAGCAGAAGCTCTCCCTGTGTCCCATAGGTAGGCAGACTGGTCTCAGATTCTCAAGCTGTTACCTCAGCTTCCCTAGTTCTAGGACTACTTTAAAAGGCTTATCTTAAAGGGAAGGTGCCAGTATGAAGTGGGGGTATATATACAGGCAAGGATAAGTCAAAGGTGACACCAAGGACTAGCCTTGAGCCACTCAAAACAGGGTTAGATGGGGTATCATCTACAAAACAGGGTCTCAGTAGAGAATCCAATCCTGAAACAAGTCCCAGAGACCTTCAGAATAGGCATTTGCGTAAAATACACCTTGAATTTTAGAAAAGCTGCCCATACTTTCTGTTTCTAACACAAAGTATGCATCACTTGTGTGTAGGATAAAACAATGGGATTTTAAATACAGTTTGATATCAATAAACACTTCAGCAATGAAATATTTGCCATCATTAACCACCACAGATAAACAGATTAATTTTCTTCTATTTACCAGTCAAATTAGACAAGTCTGATAAAATAATAAAGACTATCATGCTAAAGAGTCAGGGGCTCTTCAAAGAATGGTGTGTATGAGAGGTTGAATCTGACGGCATCAGCATTTGTCATTAGGAACATTCACATTATGCCAAGCAAATGGGGATATTAGAAATCTGATGCATCCAAAACGACCGAAAAGGTTGTTCTTCAAGTTTGAGCCACCATTTACTTACTGTGTTTGCTCAAATGATAGGCAAAGTACATCCTATTGTTTCTACAGGAGTTCAGTGCCTATCTGTAAATCCTATGAGAACATGGTCAAGCATGACCCTTCTATCTTTGAGAAAAGACAGAATAAGGTCACAGTACCACGAAGGCCCCCAACATTCTGGTGCTTTTCTGCACCCTGTTACAATCTGTTACAATGGACATGCGTGTAGAGCAGACAAGAGGAATAAAATTTTCACACATGTATCATCTTAGAGGTCACATGGAGGGAACTAACAAGCAGGCATAATATATGAAATGTCAGGTTAAACGTGAGTGAGAAAAGGAAAAAAATAAATGAGGAAATCTCACCACTGCGTTATGATTGACTATTCATGAGTAAAGGGAAGAAACTGATTTATGCAAGATCCTGTGCTATGAGTGCTTTTCTGAGACAGGGATGGCAGGCAGCCAGGCCCCTCTGCTCCTGAGCCACAGTTCTGCAGCCTTAGGTAGCTACAGGCTATGCCCTGCTCATGTGTCTCCATAATGATCCCCATGCAGCAGAGGCCTCCAGACACCAGCACCTGTGTTTATTTTTACAGTGAATGGAGAGGGCCAGGCAATCTCACCCCCAGCTAGATACCCCCACCTTGTTTTAGTGACGGGGGCGAAAGGGGGGGAGGGATGTCATCTGCATGAAGAAGATGAAAACCAGGCAAAAGCACACCGTGTATTCCTTCCAGCACATAAGACCTGAGCACAGAGAGTAATAAAATATACAGAAATCAAAGACGCTAACTGACAAATTAAACCTTGTTTTCTTGAGAACTTCAAAGATCCCAGTGAGAACATGAAAACAAACAATTTATATTTGTTTACTTTTCCCTGGAGACTCAGAGACAGGCTTTTCCCTTGTACACTGGACACTTGACCTTGATCTGCCACCCAGCTTTACTTCCACTCCCCACAGATCCTTTCATGTCCATACTGGATTCAAATCCTACAGCTTGGTGCAGCCTTTCCCAAAATGCCCTTTTGCCAGGTGGAAGTTTCCAGCATTCCACAAGGCACAGATTATCTGTACATGGAGGACAGTTGCCCCTCTTTGTTTGCAGAGGTTGTGTTCAAGCCTCAGGGGAAGGCAGAGACCTCAGATTTGCTAAGATTTCTATTGGCTGTTTTTTCCCTATATATTGTCCCTTGCTTTCTAAGGGCTACTGGTTCTAGGGTACCCTGCAGTTGCCAAAGTCAAAAGATGCTTAAATCCCTTTCATTAAACTGCAGAGTGTTTGCTTATAAGCCACCAACATCCTACTATATCCTCTAAGTCGTCTGTAGATTTCTTACAACACTGAGGACAATGTGTAAGTAGCTATTAGTCTTACTCTTAGAGAATACTGGCAGGGAAAAAGTCTGTACATGTTTAGTAATGGATGAGATTTTTTTTCAAATATTTTCTATCCATGATTGGCTGAATCTGTAGATACAGAACTTGCAAGTATGAAAGGCTGATTATACCTACATATCTATTAAAAGGTTTAATTTATAAATTTGGCACAGTGAGAGATTTATGACAACAATAATAAAACAAATGGTATAATGATATGCCAGAAGAAAGTATTTAAAGCCTACATGGATTATTTCTATAATGCTTCAAATAATATTTTAATACAATAGGTTACTATGGCTTACTAAAACCACAGAAAGAAAAACCGTAGGTGAGGAGAGTCCAATGTACTTAAGTCACATTATATGCCCTTCAAGACTCCATGGGTGGTAGGCAAGTTCTCTGCCACTGGGGTACATCCCTAGCACTGGTACTTCTGCTGTTGAAACACATTGAATCTTGGAGAATTAGATAAATGATCCACCTCAGGATTCACTTCAGCTCAGTGTTAATAGTTATTATCGTAAACATAAAAGGTAGAAATTAAAAGTTGCATTCTTTCATAGCTTGTATACATGAGGAAAATGCAGAAACACAGCTGAGGCCAGGGAGCTCCGTGCTGCAAGATCCAGTGTTGACTGAAATGCAGACAGGGGCTAACTGCAGTGCTATTGTGGGAAGGTGGGGAAACCTGCTTCCTGCACCGCCATTCCTCTATGCACAGAGCATGGAGTGCTCAAGGCCAAAGACAAATGGTAGTACTGAGAATTTAAGCCAAGCACTTGGCCCCATCACATGTGTTTGTCGCATATTCAAATATTCAAACAGACAGAGGAGGGTTAAAGAGATAACTCAGTCAAGCACTTGTCACACAAGTTGAGGACCTGAATTTGATCACCAGAAGCCATGAAAAAAAAAAAAAGCCAGGCTCAGGGACACTCATTTGTAATCCTAGCACTAGATGGGCAAAACAGGTAGATCCTTAAGACTCAACAGCCAGCCAACCTAGAGTGAGCTCCAGGTCAAGGCAAGACCCTGGTTCAAAAAGCAATGTAAATATCCCCAGAGGAACCTCCGAGGTTGACCTCTTGCTTCCACATGTAAATCCCTGTAATCACACACTACGCATACACAAGCATTTTAAAATAAAATAATAAAAGGGAAAAATGTAAAAGTCATACATTTAGCAGATGTTCTACAGATACTTTTATAATTAGATAAAACTTGAAATTTTAAATAAAAAACATATTTCCCTAAAACTGATCACAATAGAAATGGAACGTTTAATCAAGACCAATTACCATAGAAGAAACATGTGTAAAAAATGCTTCTTTATAATAAAAGCCATGATCAGAAACTTCTTTTCTTTGTTAGACACAGGTGTGTGTGCACACATATACACATGCATATGCACGCGCGTGCGCGTGCGCACGCGCGCGCACACACACACACACACACACACGCAGAGACAGAGAGACAGAGAGAGAATGAGTAAAGAAAGAAAAGAGTGACCAATATGGTAGGGCTTTAAGTAGACAAGGATACACATAGCAAACCTACCAGTATCTAGACATTGCCTGCTGAAGAAATTGGTCAACAAAGGGAAGGAATTGGGATTTGAATGTACAGTTGATCAAACGTAGTTTTAGTTAGTATAACTTTTGTCTATGACAGAGGTCATAGCCATTTGCATATTCCCTCTCACAGAGCCTTACTATTATCTGAGCTCAAGGTCTTATTCTCAGCTTGTCAAATGTAGCCTATCACATATTTGATCAAAGACAATGATTTGCATTAACTGAATTCCCAGGTGCTGCATGTAGAAATTAGACTGTGTTTTGCTTTAGTTGTGATGAGCAGGCATCATCAAGGAAACGGAATAAAATGCACAGTGTGATCTCTGTTCACACATGCCATTAGAATTGCAATGGAAAAGACTGACAATACCAAGTCTTGCTATCTATCTATGCCAGCAGGAAGCTCCACTCAGTGTTGCCAGCTGTATAGTCTAAGGAACTCTCTTCCGAGACCTACTCTGATGAAGCTGGGATTCTTAACTTACACCGCAGAAAAGAAAAACATCAGGGCAAGTTAGTATAAAGCACAGTTAAAGCTTACTAAGAAAATTAAGTTTCAATGTGGATATAAGCATGAGTGCTGCAAAAGATGCTTAATAAAATGCAATATAATGAATAAGACTGAAATGTAGTTTGTGAGGTACATTGCACAAGTTCACAGACTGATAAAATAGAGCATAGATAAAATAGTAAAAGGTATTCTTACCCTCCAGGAAAGTCAGAGCCTATGTTTTGACTACAGACATGGTTCACTGCTACTTTAGTATTCTTATTTGAAGTATCTCTCAAAGAGAAAGGAAGATTGTCTCTATACAGGCGATCTTCACAGAGGAGTTTGTTGTTGTTAGTTGTACTGTACTGGAATTTTTGAATCTCAGCCAGCAAGAGACTTAAACCAGGTTCCAGGGTAATGGCTCATTTCTCTTCCCAGGTCCTCTTACTTTTCTCTGCATTTCTATCCTGCTTCTTCAAGAAAAATCACTAGTTCACAATTCACGGGTGGGACTTTAAATCTGCATGTCCACCTTGGGAACCTATCAGCAGCATCTAAAACTGAGCAGGTCCCTTCCCATGATTCAACAATCCATTTCCTGGATAAGACAATAAGGGAAGCAGTTATACAATTCTACACAAGCGCATGCACTAAAATAGACATAGAATCTTTACTTGTATTAGTAAATTTAGGCAACACGTCTGTGAATTACTACTATGTTTGACAAATGAAGTAGAATGTTTTCATGCAATGGAACATACAGAGCAAACAGCTGGCCCTATAACTCCATAGACAAAATTCATGGTCAGAAAAAACTACACAAGAACACATAGCCTTTCCTTTGGCTGATGTTTCAGAACATCAAGCATTCTGAAAATACCCTTTGTATACTTTGCAAAATTAGGAAACTATACATCTGCAATAACAGCACCTTGACAGTAAGCATGGCATATAACAAACACCAAAAGTGAAAGAATTTAATTGGATGTTGAATGGAGTTTGGCAAGAAACATTAACATGTTATCACACAAATAAGACCCATGTACTTTGAAAACAGGATATTAGACCGCAAAGAGATGAATCATAAAAATTTTCTAAAGACTGGAAACCCTGTCTCTCAAAGAAACTATTTCAAATCTAATGCACCACCCCCTGGGCTTAGACATATTTTCTGGACAATAGTAGGCACTCAATAAATATGTTGGGAATTAATAAATAGAATTAATAAATCAGCATTGATCCAATTAAATAACACAAAAGATAAGTACTTGGAGATTAAAACATTAGTTTGAACCAGTAGATGAAACAGCAAATTGATACCTCATCAGCTTGCTCTCTCCCTCTCATTACATATATTTCTTTAATTTTCAATGTGTTTATATTTGAGGTAGAACTGAGGCTCCAATTTGTGGCTCCACTACAACTTGTTTCAATTTGTATAAATCTGATACATTTGGGAAGCCTTCTAAACTTGGTATGAATTCAATTAGGAAATACTGGATCGGGTCCAAAGTTTCAGGAGTCCCCAAAGAAACAACAGTAACCTGAAACTCCCATAGAAGATCATAAACGCTGCCTTTGTCAGGCTTCTCCAGCCGAGTGAAACCTGCCTGGCAGGGAAAGTGTAGAAACTGGAGAGTGACCTCACGATCTGCCAGTTTCAATCTATTGTAGAAAAGAGCCACTTAACACAGAGCAGGTAGAATGACTCGCAATTAAATTTTCCCATATGCTGCTACTCAGAGAAATGGCATCTCACCCAAGGACACTTTCTCATCCAATGGACTGAGAAACTTGTCTTGACAGACCATTACAAGTTATAAACACAAACAAACACATGTATCTGTTTTCTCAGGCTGTAGCAGTCAAATTGTAAAACACCAGCAAGCATATCCTTACCATAATCTGAAGACCATCAGGGTGTCAGGGTGACTGTCATGTGCAGAGATGGAGTGGGGCTGGCAACAGATTCTCAAAACTCTCACTCAGTCCCAAGTTATGCGAACTCCAAGACCTGTGCCTTCAGGCTGGTCAGCCACCTCTGAGTACATTTTTGTGGTTATGATTTGTTCTTCATGCATACTTCGCAGCCTGGTGGTGTCTGCCTGAGTAGGCCACCCCTAGGCTCAGGAGAACACACAGCAGAAGGGGTTAGTGTTGCCTGAAAGAGAAATGAGAGAAAGGATATTTAGTGCCACCCCCGGCTCTTCCTTGGAATGCAAAGACAACTGCATTTGGGTTTGGTGGCATGGTTCTGACAAAGTTACAGGATGGTGCCTGTGAAAGAGGTATGTGACTGACATCTTATGGGTCTTTGGCATTGCCAAACCATTGAAATTCAAGATCTTAAGAGTCCCTGGCCTTCAAGAGGGAAATTTTCATGTGTATGAGAGCTTGATACCAATTTGTTTGAAAAAAAAAAAAAACTCCCATTAACCAAATACACAAGAGGACAATATAGGAATAGGACACCCACTTGATAAATTGTGATGAGTCATATCAATCTTAAGAAGTGATTGTAATTACACTCAGTAGGCTTCATGCTTCTGTGGGAAAGTCTGCAGAGAAAACAGTTATACAAGACACAGAGTTTTAAACCTCTAGACCTGTACATCCTTTGTGGCAGTTTCTATAAGCTCTGAGGACCATCAGTTATGAATGGATGTTACCTGCTGGACTCTCAGGGTATGCTGCCCAAGTTCTTAGGAGTACATCACATGACAATACCATGTACACTGGCCACAATTGCCTCTTCATTATGACATTAATATCTCTGTATCTTGGACAAAGTAATTCACCTTTTTGCAATGAGCTATATAATCTGTACATTTTAAGCATATTGGGAAGAATAGAAAAGATGGCTTCTTGAGAAGTCTTTAAACCTGAAGTTTATGATTTTAAGGAGAAATAAGCCTAAAATATATATATTTCCATAAAGCAGAGCTAGTGTGTATACAGACACCACTGAAGACATGGCCCATCTCTTCTTGCATGATTCCTAAGGATCTTCTGTTGAAGGTCTCTTAGCCATCAGCTAAATTGCATATCATATAATTCACTTGTCATACAGTGGTCTCTTAGATCAATTTGGCTTGAAAACCAGTGGCCTAGGTGTGTTTCATTGTATGAGCCACTGGTCAGAGGCTAGCAAACTGCAATCATGGCCCAATAATTATGCCTGAAGCAAGAGCATGGATTTTGCCTATTCTTAACATGAATATAAGCATTTAATTATCACTAACAGTAGTATCCTTATTTTATAGATTAAAAATCACTTCCGGGCGGTGGTGGCGCACGCCTTTAATCCCAGCACTCGGGAGGCAGAGCCAGGCGGATCTCTGTGAGTTCAAGGCCAGCCTGGGCTACCAAGTGAGCTCCAGGAAAGGCGCAAAGCTACACAGAGAAACCCTGTCTCAAAAAAAAAAAAAAAAAATCACTTCAGAAGTTTTAAGTGATATGCCCTAGCTTTCAATCCCTGATAATTATAAACTGTGTGTCAAATCATGGAGATTCTAACTTCAAATCTGTTATATTAGTCTTTTCACAATTACAGGTAATCATAGCCCAATAGGTTCGTATAACATTTTGCTTTGGTTAACACAGTCAGTAAGAACAGCATTCCAGACAAACAAAACAGAACTTTCTATATGCTCCACCCTTATATCCCAGAACTAAGAATGCTCCACACTAGGGAAACCTTGGCTAAAGATACAGGGAATTTCGGCACCACCCTGAGTGTCTGAAGTTTCCGGAAGGCAAAGAAGGGAAAGATGCCAGGGCCAACCTGACACCAGGGATCCCATACGCTCTTCCTCCTAGACTGAAACCCAATGCCTGCCTTCACAGCACACAGCCAACTGATCCTCTTCCCTATTTGGAAGGGGCTATCACCACACTAACTTGAAACCCAAGCAGCCCGGCTGCTGGACAGGCTGTATTGTATGTCCTGGGAACATCAGATGCAGACGTGCTAGGTGCTCCTGCACTCATTCTGGGAGGCTCAGCTCAGGAAGTCTCTGACTTGGAAAGCTGTGGACTGAATATGTTTCAATGTACAGGCTGATGGTCTAATACTGGCAAGCTGTAATTGTGGCCATAGCTGAAACAAGTGGGCAACGGTAAAGACTTTCTCTCCTTTACATTCCATCAATATAAACTGATCGGTCAATCAAGAACTGCTTCTACCCAATCAAATCAATTCCTCTTTTCTTTGGAGATGTTCCTGAAAGCACATGAGAAACTGAAATGGAGTTTAATTACTATATCTTGGACCAGAGAAGCCAGAGATCTCATGTCCTCTTATCTGCTCCAGTTTCCTTCAATCCAGGGGAAGAGAATTGGTAATGTGCCCATTCACAAATGCAGATGAAAAATAAAAGCCAAATTTAGAAATGAAGCTATACCAAAAGTTGTAGAGCACTTTGCCTAGCATGTAATTCTCAGCCCTGGGGAGAAGTGAGGAATTTGAATATTTATAATAAAGCATCCTTTTATATTGACATGGCTACCAGGATGTGAATACTGAGAGATTTCTTTATTGCTCTATATTTGAAATGGGCCTGAATCTTAGTTAATACTTTCAAGTTCTATTTTAAACTAATTTTATACATATTCACATATATGGTATATATAGAATTACACAGGTTTATGTAGGTGCAAATCACAACAAATCCCAACAGGAACAAACATTCTTAATGCTTATGTCACTCTAACTATTTATGGCCCTACAAATTTGATAGTGTCTGAGCTATACAAAGAGATAATGAATATCATTCCATTAAAACAAATTCATAAAAGAACTTTATTGCAAAAAAAAGCATAGTTAAGATATCTGAGCAGTGATCATATTTTAATACTAAAATCATATTTTATCTAATGGCATATGGAAGCTCTCTTATGGAAATGTATGATTGGGGTCTTAATAACTTATCACAACCATTTCCAGTCTGCAGGTGTTTGTCAGAATTTGATTAGACATATTAGATATTAAAGGCTTATCGAAGAGCAATTGTTAAGTTGAGAAGAAATAGCTAAATATTCTCTAAAAATGTCCAAATAAGCATGATTGACTTGTATTCGTGACTTCAAAATACCGGAACTATAGAAAAATCGAATTCTCAAACGGTTATGATGCAACCTAGAGGTTTCTTTTCAGGGTGGAAGGGTGGCCTCTGTATAGGCAGATTGCAGGACATGTCACCAGGGCTCTGAGTCCATTACAGTGAGTGAGGAAGGTGATCAGAAGATACCCATCATCCCTCTGGTTATTAGAGATTGACAGCAGCTCACCTCTCAGCCCACTGGCAAAAGAGTGAGTATTTTGCCTTGCACTAGTTTATGCCATCTGGTTTCACTGTGACAGCTGAGGATAACTCCACTATGGAGCATTGCTGTTCAGTGATGAAAAGGAAAGGCTGCAGCTGCTCATTTGGATATTTTGCACCATCAGAGAAAACATTTACAGTGTACACTAGCCCAAATAGCAAATGACTGCTTATTTTCCTATTTACAGACTATCTCTAAGTTACACATCTCAACACAGCACAGAGAATTGACTTAACAGAACCAAGTGACATCCTAGAGAGCTTTCTTCGTCAAAGGGGGACTTTCATGGCCTCTGATAGGCAGTGCATTGTTCCAAATCACACCTTCTCCGCAAGGTGCAGAGTCATAGTTTTCCTGCTAAACATTGTGTTTATCATCTTAGGTAGTGCACTCCACTCTGCATACACACATACATACATAAACACACACACACACACACACACACACAAACACACACACACACACACACACACACACACACACACACACACACACAAACTCACACGCACGCACTAAAAGAAAGATATTAAAGGGGTGAATATTAAGATCTACAAATTATATTTCAATGGACAAGTACCAAAGGGAATCCCACTCTAAGTAACCTTACCAAACATATGTTTGTATGTTTTTGTGTGTTTTCTTGCTTGTTAGGCTTTCATGGGAGGCACAATGTATATAGCACATAGACCAACTCACAGCAAAGCAGAATGTCTGTCGCTCCTCCATCCCCAACGGCAAGACTTTCGGTGTTCTCACAAGTCACAATTCCTACTGGAAGCTTTTAACACTTACTCGCACACAGTTTGGAATTTTCTTTCTTCCTGATTTATGTTTTGTTTTGTTTTTTTTTTTTTGTACTTCCGCCTTATTGCAAAGCAATTCAGATATACGGATGCCCAGCTTACCAGCAAACCCTCCTGCCCCTTGTTGACTCTGGACGCAGCTGATTTACCGTCAAGGTCTGCCGCCGATTCACCATGCTCTGCAAAAAGGGAATCAGAAGATTGAGGGTGGGGGGGAAGGACTAAAGCAGAGCCCAGACCACCGCAGCACTCGAGGAAGGCTGGCCTGCAGTTAAGGGGGCCCTTCGAGTTCCACTTCACGACTACTAACGGCAAAACGTGCTCCACAAATCCCGACCAAAAGACACCTTAGAGTTTTCATTCCCAAAAGGCCTGATTTATGTTTAAGCCATATGGACAGGCACTTTGCATGGCCTTAGAGAATCTACCTTTTTTCACTGTTCTTCTTTTGCTGCTTATTCTGCACGGCAGTAATCAAGCCGTGGCCTTCTGCCGTGGACCATCTTCCCACAGATCTCCTTGAGTTCCTATTTCCATTGTCAAGTCCCTCTCCTTGCCCAGTCACTTCCTAGATCCCTAACCACCGGGAAGCTAGGAGGAGGGAGATACTGTCTGCTGTATACACTCACAGGTCCCTTGGTTTTCGGGCGTGTGGCCTGCCCGTGTCCTAACCTTTATTTCCTCACAGTTGCACCACACTCACTGCTGCACTAAACAGTGGGAGCGTTTTTTGCCAAGGCCAATATGAATTGCAACCATGGCTTCCAGAGCCCTACTTGTCCCCGTGTGGCTCCGCATCTGCTGCAAATATAGGAAGTCATGATTGCCATGACATCTCATCAGGTCGTTGATAAAGCTGTTAAACAATGCTAGACCCAGGCTGGGGAAACACCTGCTCTTTAGTCCCAGGTGTCACTGATAGGTGATAGACACTCCCAGTACCGACCTCTGGCCAGTCAGCCGGTCGTCTCTGCGATGCATTTTCCTCCTGGTGATTTTAGTGATACGGAAACAGTGGTCTGTTCCAGGCTGCAATGGCCAAGATAGATGCATTGTTGTAATTGTAGATTAATATTTAATATGGTGATTAATCATTTGTTGTGTAAAAGAGTATTTATTAATGTGTCTTGTATGTAAAAGAAAACAATGAACTGGTGCATAAGGGGGCACTGTTGAATAGGACAGCCTTTGCTCTGTCCTTGGGAACAAGCTCCGGGACTGTTGGCAGAATATCCATAGGAAGCACACTTTGATTATCCTTCAGGAATGGCACAGAGTTCATAGTTTTTATAGCAGTCTTGTCTTAGTTGTTTATTTTGCTTAGAAAGAATGTTCTTTATTTTATTAGGATTTATTTTTATTACCTTTGGTTATGTGTATTTGTGTGTCTGTGTGTAGATATGTGCACATGAATGCAGGTGTCTGAGGAGTCCAGAGGCATCAAATAGTCCCAGGGCTGGAGTCACATGTGGGTACTGGGTGCTGCACTCAGGTCTTCTGCAAGAGCAGCACATGCTCTCAACAGCTAAGCTGTATCTGCAGTCTTTATTTTCTTATCTAGCAGCTCATGACCCAGTGGAATCGTTCTAGGTCATAACTTGTACCTTAAGATAAAAGAAGACTTCAAGAGAAGCACACCTCAAAGAGAGTTCAAGAATGAGGAAACTTGAGACAATTTCATCTGGAGATTCTTTAACAATACAGTATTTTATTTACACATGATGGTTTACTATATAAGCACAAGATACATAATAATAATAAACAGAAAATTATAATAATAAATAGAAAATTTTAACGATATATTGAAATAAGTTGTTTGGGTTTAAATTATTTTTCTTAGCACATATTAATTATATATAATAATGTACTTCACCAGTGGTTATACCACTGAAGAAGTCTCTCTGGTTCTAGTCAACCATTAACTGTCTATAATAAGTAAGGGTGGGGCCTCATGTGTTCTTCCCTCCTCTGTGGCAGAATGTCAACAGGCCTCATCTCATGGAGTTCTTGTGCAGGTCTGTGAATTCGTAAGTGCCATGTTTATCTTGTGCATGAACAACAATAGTCACAGCACCCCACTCCTTCCCCCAGCTCTGACACTCTTTTGCTCTCTTTTCTACAATGTTCCCCGAGCCTCACACTGGATAATATAGATGCCCCATTCATGGCTGAACATTCAACTGTCACTGGTTTTTATTATGTCAACTAATTATCATTTCTGCAGTAACTGCTATACCCTGAAAAAGGAAGCTTCTCTGACAAAAAAACAAACAAACAAACTATGTCACCACTCATCATGGCTTAGATTCTCTAAGGCCATGCAAAGTGCCTACCCATATGGCTTAAACATAAACAGTTGTTTAAAATGCAATTTGATGGTAAGATCACATTCATGTAGAAACTTAGACTACTGGGTTACCCACTAGAGAGAGCCTGTGACTTCTGGAACCACAGGCTTCTGATTGAGTTTACCGTACCAAATGTAAATTCCGTCCCACGGAGCAGAACTCAAATCCAATCAGAAGGTAACTGGTTACCCCCATAACAGACTTGAAACTATTGAACCAGTAGGCATATCTGGCTGAGAAGTAAGTCATGTTGCAGGAAGAGTCCACAGCTGAGCAAGACTATTGACAACACAAAAACACAACTCTTGCCTCAAAGTGAATAAGAAACAGCTTATTCTGGAGTCAAATATGAATAACTATGGCCTGGGAACAGAGATTCAGGCTGCCCCCAAATTCTATGCTCATATATGGAAACAGTTTCATGGAGATTCTACAGGGACAGAATAAAGAAAATCTTAAATCATAACACCTTTCACATCCATTGGTATAAATGTCAGGTGAGCAAGTTACAGAAAAATAGGGTGGAAACTCAGATATTTAACCTAGATGCTATCTCAAGTCATTTTCAGTCTGTTGGTTGGTTGAAGCTAGTGGTTTGTTTTTACATACCAAAGGATTGACTCAATAGTCATAGGAACATTAGGTCAGACATGGAGTTTCTGGCAGACTCCTTAGAATGAGAATAGCATCACCTATAATAAAGAAATCGACTTCTTCCTTTCTTATTTGTAACCCTTTAATTTCCTTCTCTTGCTTTATGGCCATTATTGCTCTAGCTGAGACTTTAGGCACCATCATGGATAGGAGAGTAGAGAGAATAGACACCTTTGTCTTGTTCCTGTTTTTAATTTAAATATTTTATTTTCTTCCTCAATTTAGCATGATGTTGGCTGTAAGTTTGCAATATACAACCATTATGTGTTAAGAGACATTCCCCTCATGTCTTGTCTCTTCAAGAGATTCCATGCCTAATTTTGTCAATGGCCTTTTCTGCGTGGAGATGATTGTGTGATTTCTGCCCGTCAGTCCTTTTATGTGACATATTGCATTTGTTCATTTGTATATGTTGAACCATTCCTGTATCTCTCATATGAAGTCAACTTGGTCATGGTGAATGATATTTTAGACTTACTCTTGAATTCAGTTTTTGAGTATTTTATTGAGAAGTTTGCATCTAGGTTCATCAGAGACATTGACCTGTAATTTTGTTTTTTGTTGTGTTTTGATATGATTTGGTATCACAGTGTTAATGGCTTCATAAAAAGTTTGTAAGCATCTATTTCCTACTTTATGGAATAATTTGAGAAGTATTGGTGTTAGCTCTTTTAAAATGATCTTGTAGAAGTCTGCAGTGAATCTGTGTGGATCTGAACTTTATTTGGTTAGGAGAGGTATTTTTTGTTTTGTTTTGGTCTTTGTTTTTTCACTGTTTTAATCTCATTGCTTGCTCTAAGTCTGTTAATTTGTGTGACTTGGTGTTGACCTGAAATACATCTGTTTCTTTTAGGATTTCCACTTTATTGGAATGTAAGTATTTTTTCGGTTTGTCCTTTATCTAACGTGATCTTTCTTGTTTCCTGGTTGCATTTTCCTGGACCATTTTTTCCATCCATCCACCACAGGGCAGTGTATTAGTTGATTGATCACTGATTTGACAAAGCAGATGATAAGTGCATCTTACAGAAGGAAGGATGATCCTGTATCTTGTCAAGTTGACAAGACTAACTACTACAGGTAGCGTCTATCTTTGATGGCCAAGTGTGTTTCTTAGAGGCAGAAAGATACAGGAATTCTGCTTTTAAATGTAACCCTAGTCTGTGTCTTTTAAAAATTACAAACCCCATTTATGATTTTTAAAATATACTTGAAATAAAATGATTAAAATGAAAAAATTACTACATGTATTTATGTGGTGGAGGGGAAGGAAGGCTCTTGCCACAGCATGTGTGTGGAGATCGGAGGAAGACTTGTTAGAGTTGGTTCTTTCCTTTCACTATGTAGGCCGCAGCAATCAAATTCAGGTTATCAGAATTGGGGGCAGATGCCGTAAACTCCTGAGCCATGTCTCCAGCCATAGTCTGTGCCTTTGGATTGGAGAGTTGAGATCACTAATATTCAAAGTTATATTTGAAAGGGTGGCATTAATTTCTGTCATTTTGTTGATTTTGTAGTGTTTGGCATTTCCCTCATTTGCTTAACTATTAACTACTATTTTGTCATTATTTAATTTTACCTTGTAGCCCTTTAGATGTGTTTATCTTTCTTTTCAGTCTGAAAAATTCATTTCAGTATCCTCTATGGAACTAGGTTAGTATTTCACATTCCTTTAGCCTGCTTTTCTCATGAATATTTTTTTTTCCAACAGTGATAGGGGTTTTTGTTTTGTTTTGTTTTGGTTTGGTTTGTTTTGGTTTGGTTTGGTTTCGTTTTGGTTTATTTCAAGACAGGATTTCTCTGTTTAGCTTTCCTGGAACTTGCTTTGGATACCAGGCTGGCCTCAAACTCACAGAGGTCCGCCTGCCTCTGCCTCCTGAGTGCTGGGATTAAAGGTGTGTGCCACCACTGCCCGGCCCCAACACTGATAGTTTTAGTAAATATAGCAATCTGTGTTGTAAGTTGTCTTAGGATTTCTATTGCTGTGATATAACATCATGACCAAGGCAAATTATAAAAGAAATCATTTAATTGGGTTTATGGGTTCAGAGAGTAGAGGTCCATAATGACAGAGTAAAAGCATGATATAACAGTTGAGAACTCACAACTTGAACCACAAGTAGGAGCCAGGCAGGGCACACTGGAATGACATAAGCCTTTTTAAAGCTCAAAGCCCACTCCCTGTGACATACCTCTTTCAACAAGGTCACCTCTCCTAATCCTTCCCTTATAATTTAACCAACTGGAGTCCCAGTACTCAAAATGAGCCTATGGGGGCCATTCTCATTCAAACCACAACAGTCCACTCTCCACTCACTATAGGCTCATGCATTTAGTCCAACTTCAAAAGTCCCCATAGGATTTCAGTATCAACACTGTTTAAAAGTCCAAAGTTTAAAGTTTGTTCTGAGACTCAAAGAAATCTCTTAATTATAATTCTCTAATATATATATATATATATATATATATATATATATATATATACTTCCAACATACAATGGCACAGAATATAAATTACCATTACAAAAGGGAAGAATTGGGGCATGGAGAAAAAATACTGAACCAAGGCAAGACCAAAATCTATCAGCTTCAACTCCATATTCTATAGC